AGGGCCAACGCATACGATGTGACATGACGACACGTCAATTCCATACTTAGACTATACATCAACGCCAAGTTTACGGGCTCGCGATACCTATCATGCCATCCTGTCGCGCTACCACGGCAAAAGGCCACCGCTGTCGCCTTCCAGCGAGTCGCGCAAAAGTCGGGGGAAATTCTGGAATGCTGAATCGTTGCAGGCATCACATCGTGCAACTGGATGACTTCTTAGGATCGCGTGTGGAGGGTAAGGAAAGTCAGGCTACAACCAACGAGACTGATCCAGATCGCCCTGTTCTCCTGTCTCCAGGCCCCGCTGCCAGTACTCAAACATCTACCAATGTAAGAAGCGACCGACCGACTTCAACATCGACTTCCCGACGAAGGGCGGCCGCGGCTGCACCAAGCACAAAGACGTCTTATCCTAACCCATCATCCCCCACGCCGCAAGCAAGACAAGCATGTCCACACAAGCCGCCACCCATACCATTGCCCATTGAAGTCGATGTTATACACAGTACCTTCGGACTTGGCTCATCTAGCCCTCAATCAGCCAGTATCCGCCCCGGCCCATCTCTACCCGTCACCGATGCCCTACCCGCTCTATCAGAATCAGGGCAGTACTTGGCGACTCCGTCTCAAGATAAATCTAACGCCACATCACCGTCATTATCTTCTGAGATCGTTATCTACCTGGACTACCAACCATCAACACGAACCTACCAGCGCACCATCGCCCCGCGCTCCCCCGGCAGCGACCAGGAATATACGTCCAATGCCGATCGTGGACGACGCCATGGTTCTGCTCCGCCTGATGTCTCAAGGGGCTTTTGTCGCAAAAGGATCGATCCGCCACTCCCTAGGTACATGACGCCCGTTAAGAAGCGACATTTGAAGGCGATGAGCTGGTGGCAGGGTGTTCGTACGGTAATGTAGAGTATGTTAAATCGCTGAAATAGGGGGATGGAACCCGCGTTGAGAAGATTGGAACGCGGGTCTGAGGCATCGGGAAAGTGTGCTCGGGAGAGCGGAGTTTGTTGTATGGTAGTCATGATGATGTTGGGAGAAGGTGGAATCAGAGCTTGTATTGAAACATGCTTTTTCGTTTGCGGAACGCTCTGATATAACTTCTCGTGATGTGGTGAGGTTTGACATACGCCTTTAGCGATTATCTGTTACCATTGCGCCCATGGTGGATTATCGTCTCTCGGATGTTAAACTTCTTTCACTACTTGCGCAGTTCTCGTTTGGTTCCCACGAAGCGCTCAACAAGACATGGTGCAGCGTCGATCACGCGAATTACATACGGTTTTATCGTTCTCCGCCGCACGCTGATAGACAAGAGCGACATGAGCCTGCAGGAGTTCAGATTTCACATCGAAAACTGCAGCTGCGTGGGAACAGTTTCAACGAACGACGATAGATGGATTTCGCTCCTCAAAATCAATTAAGCATGTTTCTGCCCGGATAAAACAGCGATGAGTATCACAATACTAGGTTTGCACCTGGTGATTGCGGGCAAGAACACAACGGCATAGCACAACATGGAAAAGATCATTGCACCACTTCTCAATATCCAGAAGTTCTTAGAATACGTCTTGAGATCTGTTTTGTTATAATGACGGTGGAAGGTGGTGGGCGTCGATTGTTGGTACTTTGGCCTAACTTGGTATCCCACGAAGCGACGGATTTGCGATCGGCCTTCTGCACAGTGAACGTCTACCCTTGTAGACACCAGATGAGATTTCTCATCAACGCAGCAGCGCGCTCGAGATGGCCAATCTGACCCAACAGGTGTAGTGGTACTGCTCCGCCACAAAAAGCGCTGGGATTTGAGGACGACGTCTTGGTGCCTCGGTCGAGAAACGCGAGAACACGAGCGCGACACCTGATCACGCGAGCTGCTTAGCCGTTTCGGGACTCGCGCGTGGATGCATTGCCGGGGCGCCGTGTGCCGGAGGACTTTGACGTTTCGAGCCCAAGATGATGTGCAAAACCAACTACGACGAGCGCAACTTCAGCATCCCAAAACGACCATTCCGCCCATTCGTCGCAGATTATGCGATGTGACTCAACGAGGCGACGAAGTACGGACGTCTCAACGGCGTCATGAAGGGGCCGCGACGATGAGTGTTAGTAGCGCCCTACAGAAACCCATAGGCACCCCAGTGCCGCCCACGCTGCCGCGCGTGCCACCCTCAAAGTTGAAAACCTTCAGATCCCCTGGAGTAGCGATATCTTGAATCCGCCTCTTCTCTGTCGACGATAGAAAAAATGAACCTGGGGCGGTGGTACCGCGAGAAGATCGTTGGGGTTTTCACTGCGCCCAAGTCGCGAGGCGCATTCAATTGTCCACAACGCGCTGTTCCAACTCACCCGGGCAAAACGCTGCTCACTGGCGAGCTGATCACACGAGGAATGGAGTCAGTACACTATCCCTACATGCGGGTGGTCGCGCAGCGCGTATAAGATGTGTTTGGGGCAATCGATAGCCGCTTGGTCAGGCACCAGATCATCATGGGCTTTGGAGTCAAGAAGCTGGGAGCCCCGGCGCGATGTCTTGGATTTGCCTCGCAGCGACGCGAACATGAAGCCACTGGAGTCTCCGGATGCTTACCCGTGTTAACGCATGCTCTTCGCTCGCACCGCCATGGTCCAAGATCACCTCTCGCAGTCCGCCAACGCACACGAATGCATCTACGCAGATCCCACAATACTATCACGGCAGCGAGACATCGTAAACCCACCGTAACTACGTTCTCCACCGCCGGACGGCTGAGTGGAGGAATACAGCTGTCTCGATGGTCTTTCGCTGTGAAATTCGCGTGCTCTCCAGGGCCGCCTACCAAAAGGTGCCGCGCTGCTGAAGCGCCGCTAGTTTGCTGGAAACTCCCATATAGAAGCTGCGCCGACGATACATCCGTCATGCGCTCCTTTTGATCGACCGCTGGCTGTTCCCCTGGCTACCCACGGTCTAATGTCCTCGAACCCCGGATCCAGCCACCGACGAGGAATGTTTATCCAATACACCGGGCCATTGCAAGGTTGAGAGACCCGACTGCCACCAGCCTGATCTACAAATGAGTTGCATCGAGAGCTGGAAACACAGGCCGGAAGAAGACGAAAATGGCGGCTGGTTTGTGGCCAGACGTGGTGGAAACGCGCAACACCAGGGCTGCCACGACTTCCAATCCAGGTTGACTCGTGAAGTCTGAACGATCATACATTGAGTGTTGCGACACTTGGCAGAATATTTGGTGTGTTGTATCGGCGATTGGAGCGAAGATGGCTCTTCGCATGCCGACGTCTGCTTTCGGTCATCAGTGGTAGCTTGCAAGAACGCACGAGGACCGTCTGGACTGGTGAACATAAACCCTAGGCATATCTCCTATCCGGTCTCAACGCTGCAATACATTAGCTCGGCTACTTGTCCACGATCGGTTGAGGCTGGCGCAGGCCTGGAACGTCGAACAAACGACGCATCGTGGAACGGGCGCGTCCTTAACATCAAGCTTCAAGGACAATGCAGTACCACCGCGCGTGAGGAACTGTTGTCAACGTCATCAAATCCTGATAGCAAGTCACCACTCACATGGGCTAGCCTTCTTGAATCCAAAGTGGGACGCGTGCGGTCACTCCGGCATCACCAGCGGCTGCATGACCAGCGGATGTGCGTTCGCCCACAAGCGCACGGAGAACGATTCCCTACTGAAGTTTTATGAGTACCCGAAGTGATCCGCCAAGACGTCGTTGACGCCAATGGGAACTATCTGCGGATGCGATTGGGGCCAGCGTGTTTGACGTCGCATAACGCCAGAGACTGAGCGCTGCCCATTAGACTGCAGGGCGTTGTGGGGCTTGGTGCGAGCGGCTGAAGCCCTGACTACAGCGTGAGGATGCACAGTGTTGATGGAATATGCTGATGCGCAAGTCCGAGGGCAAAACATCTTCGCACATCACCAACTCGTCTTGCTGCACTCGCGACAACGGCACGATACAGTAGGAGAAGATGCCATATGTTCGTGGTTGGAGGATTCACTCCATATCGCATCAACTCTCCATTGTGGCCATCATGATGGTCCCGCAATGCACACGTGAACTCACCGGAGCGGCCGAAAGTTGTGATGTTGGTGATGGCGTCGCTCTTGCCTCACTGGACGTTGCGGTCGCGCCCACACCCTGCTCCTGCTGCATCAGATCAGGGCACAGCTTTGAGCCACCCACCTCTTTCCAGCTTCACGCAGATCATATCCGGGCAGAGATGTGTGCAAACACAAGCCAGCAAGCAATCCTACCAGCCCGCAGAGCATTGCGCGGAACGGGGTACCTGTGCACAAGTGGCTGCATATAATCCGAACATCTCTCGAATCGGCCATCGAACATGTTCAAACATGTCCAGTCAGACTGACGGCGCTAGGAGCGACGCACCCGGTTCGACCCTCGTGGTTGACCATTGTGGAGTTCCGAATGTCTATTGATGGCCTCTTCGCTCTGGTCAGCGTTGGGGAGCAGGGTTGTCCGCGTAATGGTGTAATGCTCCTGTCTACTGCTATTTGATCTACTCCAGCTTGCTGGGCCGATAACACATGATGGCGGGCTTGCATCTTGTGGTCTTTCACCCGAACCAGAGTAGGGGTTAAGATGTTGGTAGGTAGTCTTGTGGTGGTAGGCAGTGAGTTGCAGATTCAGTTCGGTCTTCTCTGTTTTGCACTTTTCGCTGCATAACCACAGGCTGCATCTCTCTCTTTTTGCTTCATTAATCAAATTTTGGCGGGGATGAGCGATCTGGGGATGTCCGCCGTGCCTCCAGAGACAGTGGTGGTTGGCTCCTGCCTCGACGAAGCAGGGCTTGGAGTCTGAGGCAGGAGTATGTTACTTCCTTCCCCAACGAAGCAGATCATGGCGTGACGCATCAGCCCACACCTCAACATATAATGAGCGATTTCCGCGAGAAGTTTACGTTCCTCAGCACTACACCTCACTTCACCTTCATCACAATCCTTCACAATGGGCAGCTCTCTCTCCACCCCATCACGCCCACCAGTCCCCTCCTACGCCCAGCAAACCCTCTCCACCGCTGCCAAACGCAAGCCATCATCAAGACCGCCGACCCCACCATTACGTATGACATCGGCGCCGCACCCAAGCAGCAGCGTGCTGATGTCTGGGGCTGAGGGTGAAACCGAAGCCGACGTTGAGCGCGCACGACGAGCCTCAACACCACCACAGCAAGAGTCTTCGTCTGCGTTTGTTGATTGGCCTACGGGCATGGATTCTTCACTTCTCTCGCCGATCCAGCGCACGCTTGAGGATGAGGACGAAGATAACGAGGAGGACGAAGACGAGGCTGAGGATGAGGATGAAGAGCTTCCCCTCCCACCCTCCAACGCACCACTACCACCCGATGATGAGGATGAAACCTCATCAGGTCTCTCGTCTCCACCACTATCAGTGTCATCGCCATCACCACCATCATCATCACCATCATCACCATCATCACCATCATCCAAGAAGCGCAAGCCGAAGAAGCGCAAGACGGCCGCAGAGAAGGTTGCGCTGTGGAAAGCAAAGCAGGCTGCTGCGGATGTCACCAAAGCGACGCGCAGCAACGTCGACAGGGGTTTAGCTACGCTAGACTTGAGGAAGTGGGTTGGTCACGATGGCGCTGCTGAGACTCGGGTGAAGAGGGTGGGTGAGGATCTGGCGAAGGGTGTTGGAAAGCGACGTCGTCGCCGTTGAGCTAGAAGAACATGAATGAACGACACTTCCTCTTGACATATTGACAGCTCACACATGTTATCGTCATCCTTAGTTCCCACCAATTGCTTCTCGGGCTGACTTACATCTCAATGTAATTCCTCGTCTGCATCCTCACCAACCATATTATTTACTTGGAGAAATGGGGGACTGAAAGCTGATGCGCATACACTATCTGTGAACATTACATTTTGACCCAACAGACTCTCTGAGTTAGTTCACCCTGATCTCTTGCGCAAGTCGCTAGCCACGTTTCAGGCTCTGAAGACGTAATCCAGGACCCGATGCTCTACAGCGCAGGACGAAGATGGAACAGATGTTTGAGAGTGCGACGCAGGAATACAGACGGCCATCACCTCCAGCTACTGCGGTCATGATTATGAAAGTATGCGGATGGTTCCGCAAATCACTCTAAAGCATTCATCTGGAACAAAGTGTGTGGCGGTGGTCTTGACGACCCTCAGATCGTCCACGTTGTCACTGCGCAACTGGTGCATCCGACCGAACTTAAAGAACGAGTTGTTACCGACCCGCATATAGCGTTGGCCTCGCGATGCGATTAGAGGGCTTCGCGCAATACAATGCTCTCAATCTGACGGGGGTAACGCCGGGTAGATACTCTCACAATCGCGGCGATGATGAACGACAGGAACAGATGTCCCGCACACTGTTGTAAGGAATCACACAGGTTGATCTATGAAAATGACGTGTCTAGCCTTCTAGATCATCCAATGTCGGAATGGTTTGCACTTGGCGGGTATGTCTACTAGCGGCCAGAGGAACATACTTTTCACGACTCGACGGCGGGACATCTTAGCTAGACAGAACGTACGTCGCTATCGATCGAACAATCATTTGCATACAAAATCTGCTTTTTAAGTGCCTGTCGTGTTGAATGCATCTACAATATCCCACAGGACTTATTTTGCTACTACTCCGGCTTGGCCCAAACTCTAGAACAACAGATAATGCATATTTCAAGACTACGGGACAACTTGACTAGGCAGATTGAATGCAAACATCTTATAAGATCTTTGTTCTAACTTTAACTCTGCCTTTAAGTATTCTATACGTAGCCTCGAAGTTTGTTTAGATTTGATAGCGCACTTCTTCCCAACTCTTTTGATATTTACACAAATGCTATGCAACAGATAAAGAGTAACACAAAGCGCTTGATTGCGATTTCGAGAAAGACCACTAGAATATTGCAGACTTGAAGTCGAGGTTGGAGTTGAAGATGGAGCCGAGATGAAGCATCCGTGATACTGCTCTTCATTCGAAATCACGCCATTCGCACAGCCTCAAGATACTCTTCCAAGACTTGGTCTTCCTGGTGACATGAAAGCCTTTCGCGGGATGTATACTTGGCTTGATGTGAACAACATGGCACGTCTGCGATCGGGACCCGACGTGCTCGCAATGACGATGGTGTGATGTCGCGCCCTGGACACAGAGACCGAGGCATAGCCGGACTAACGTGGACTGTTCGAGGACGAGATGCGAAGATGGGGAGCAGGTCTGATAGCATGCTCTTCAGTCGGAGTTGGTGCCAGCAGGAAGAAAGACGTTGATGTGGCACGGCAGCGTCGCTATGAGCGCACCCAAGTGACAGGGCCAAAGCTTTAGACGCATTAGATGAAAGCAGAGTGGGCGTCGGAAATGAGTAGGATGAGAAGCAGGAGTTACAAATTAGCCTACGCTACAGGATGTATCTCCAGACGCGCGCATACTCTACCTCCACCATGAAGGCAGCGTAACCACCTGTTACTACCTCAGCAGCACCTGCCGTTCCCCTACATCAGCAGCGGAAGCAAGGACTCCTTCCGACCCCCTCCCTGGTGGTGCGGTCGAACGAAGCCCAGTCTTAGGTGCCGCACAAGTGCCACTCGCGATCAAAAGGCCGCCCTGCCATCTTTGCATTATGACAAGACTGTTGTCTCTCGCTATCCGGGTCACCCACGAGTGTCCATTCCGGACCAACAGTTATACCAACCCCTTGTACGTCTAGTGTCGGCCAGCTAGGTGAGATATTCGCTATGGCTCGGGCGGGGGAGCTCGACAGGGAGACTTAGTGTCGCAATCGTATGCGAGATCGAGCGTACGGCAACTGTGGTCTGTCGGTACCACGCGGTCATGTAAAAGGCGGTCGCATACGTATCGTGCTATCGTGCTGTTGGATGTCAATATTGTAGTCCTTGTGGCGCGACCGATCTTGTCGCAACAAGCGAAATGAGACGTGTTCCTGACAGCCATGGCCAGATGTGTTTGCCTTTGGCCGTCTGGCTCTGCATCAGTCCTGCTCGTCTATACTTGCGTGCGGTTGGACTCCATTGCACCGGTGGCAGCTGCGAACGTTTGACACACCGAGCTGCAGTCGCCTCGTATGCGCTTTCATCGTCCTTGTGTGCTGTATATTGATAAAAGGCCCTTGCCGTCCTATCATTTCCCTCAGCTCCAGCCAGTGACGTCGTAGATGGGGGAGCGAGAAGTCGCAGGCTCGTCATTGACGGCTAGTCTGATCGCTGGGTCGCTGGGCCGCCGGAAAATGTGTCCGTGTTTGCAATGCCTTCAGTCGGGGTCTCAGCATGAGAAACAGCGCGAATCCTCCCGGCGCTGCCACCTGCGCCAAAGACTGTAAAAGCCGAGATACCGCGTTCAATCAACGGAGAGTCGGCACCGGCTGAAGCAGTCGCCCACTTGGTGATCACTCTCCTGGGCTTTGGGTTTCTGGTATTGTAGCAGGCGGATGGAGGAGACGGAGAAGTCGGTCTGGTCGTCCACGCTTTCCGATGAAGCGGTGCGGGCTGCAGTGATCGCGGCGCGGAAGGCACGAAGTAGTTCCTCTGGTTCGACCGCGCTCGATGCCTGGTTTCTTCCTGCTCAGGCATCTAAAACAGCAGCCGTCGCGCGCGCATGTAATCCGTTGTGGGCCGACGCTCACCTCCTCGATCTACCGCCCACGAACCCCATGTGTTTGTCGCGTGGGACGCCAAATGACCCTGTCTAATTCCATCGCATCGGTCTTGAGGACGATCCGCTTCTCGTGGAGGAGTAATCGCGTTTGATGGTGGCAGTAGTGGCCGCAGACGTGGGTGAGGGGCCTCGCATCCAGACGCCAGGGCAAGGTGACACATGTGCCATCTGGAAGACGTGATATGGCGTAGCGGCTGCAGCGCATCTTTGGTGCGTTACGACGAACAGGTGGGGGAGCTCGTTTGGAGGTGGTAGGAGAGTGCGTGCGTAGGAGGAGCGTCGCGATCGTGGGTGTTGTTGGTGGAGAGCCGCATCTTGAGACGAGGATGTAGGTTTGTTGCGCGTGTCTGGAACTGTTAGAGACAATCCCGAGGGGGTTGAAAGAAGTGTCGTAGAAGTGACTGACCACTGATCGAGACTGCCGTGGACATCCTCGCGACCAAGTTCACTCAGCTAAGAGATCAGCGACGCGCAGAGACCATGGGGCCTCGGGTGTCGCGCTAACTACCTCGATCGTCATTGGGCGTGTTGCGGATGAAATTGGTGTATAGGAATGGTGAAATTGGGTTGTTGGGAGCGATGCGACGCGAATGACTGACTGGGCGGGCGGCGCTCCCAGCTATCCTCATGGCGGGAAAATCTGACCATAGTCGTGGCCTCGAGCCCAATTCTTCAGGTTGCGCCATGCGAGACACTGCGAAATGCAGGTATGTAGCAGCCGAGCACATCGCTTCCATATTGGGATGGGTAAGGGACAGTGTATGGGGGATGGTGAGGCTGGGGTGGTTGAGGTGTCCGCATAATTCGGGCACGTGATGCTGCGGAGGTTCCCAGTCGCTGATTGGTAGCCGCGGCACCCCCGAGCCGAGTACTCTTCGCCCATGCCAGAAACCCATCTCAGCCAACATCATCCATCAATTTCCAGACTCCGCGCACCAGTTCCATTATTTGCATCAACAGCTTGAGCGACCAGGTAAGAACTATCCGACAAGAACGTAACAGGCACTCAACCTTTTGATGATGTCGACGTGTTATACTGCGCCGTTCGGAATACCGGATTAACTCGAGCTGGACCGAGAGATTGGACAGCATGGGACTCGTAGATATTCCCCATCTCGATACCGCTGTCTCTTCTCTTCATCAAGCCTACAGTGTTGCTGATACAGTCAGCCTCGCAGCGCTACTTTCACCTTCATGGGCTAGCAGATACAATGAGGGTCGGCATCTTCAAACCTTTGGAGGACTTTAGAGTGAACTTCCATATGCACACCCAAGTACAATACGCCGTGAAGAGCTAGCAGATGACGCTTCAATGGGTACAATAGTAGCATGCCTTATCCATTACACTGCATCGCAACAGCAGCAGGGTTGTAGCTCACCAAACAGTATTCGTCGATGATACACGTCCTCATATCAGAGTCCCCCCAAAGGAACATCCGGCTACGCAGCTACTATCCCGATTAACTCACCAGCGACTGATAGCAACATAGCACCCGCTGTGTGGGCTTTAGCAGATCGCCGTATCGCAAGACGTGTATCATCTAGCGGAAGAAGAGTGCCGGTCACACAATGTATCTAGGCAGCCGGCTGAGACGAGGTTTATGTTGCGGGCAAGATGTATCTCGTTATATTTTGGCAAGCAACTAACTTTGCTGACAAGCCACAACGGAAGCTCAGCCACCGACGGTGGCATGTTGCGGGTTGTTAACGTAGTGCCTAACGCGAGCCTTGATATCCTAGAATGCTTTGAGGAGATTATAGATTAAGCTATGTAATAGGCCAGATAATAGAAGTAGCTTTCCTAATACCTCTACTAATGCGCTGTTACCGGCCTATTTGATGTTTTACAACAACATCGTCCTAATAGACGAACGGCGCGTTCAGAACTTTGCAGAAATAAACATAAACAGATCGGATAGCACATATATCGTCGCAATCTAAAGCATAAAGACATTCTATACACTCGGCGCGCACGAGGTCGAAGAGAGTGTTAGTGTTGCATAGCTCGA